TCATTTGCTTTCTTTTCTTTCACACTTTATTTTTTTCACTTTTCATTCAAACAAAATTTTTTATTTTTGTTTAAGTAAATTTTAAAGCTTAAATAAAAAGTTGTTTTTTTTTTATTTTGTTTAAACAAAAATATAATGTAGACTGCAATTTGTGTTAAACTATAAAAGATATAAATTTTTATGTTCTTTGTCTTTAACTTTTACTCACATAAATTTATCAAGAATGAAATATTTATAACATACCCTATTAATCATTTGGGACTAACATAAATTTTTAATAGAAAGTGGCTGTACAGATTATGGTAATAAATTTTCAGTTAACATGCAATATATATCAAACAAAGCAATTGACAACAATATCACATTATCACTCCTTAAATTATTCAGTCGAAGAATCGAGAAAAAAAATATAAAAAATATGTCGGCAAGTGTATGCAATGTGAGAATTTGAGTATCTTTCAATACAATAATTTCTTTAAAGAAAATTAACTAAATACACGTTTGCAACATTAAATGTATTTCACGCAATAATTATAAATTAGACTATTATCAAATTTTACTATTTCTTAAATTGAAAATACGTTAAGTGTTAGTTTTGTCCTCTACAGAGATTTTATATGTTTCTATTTTTAATTAATTGTTTATAGCTTTTTTATATTATTTTTTTTACCTTAACCTCGATTAATGCTTATATTATACAATTAATTACTTTAAAATGGCATTTATACGTGAAAGTGTTTTCTTCACTCCAAATCTCACTTGTTTTAATTAGTTGGAATTATATTTTTTCATAGTACAATACATTATTTTAAAAATTCTTTAATATTTCAATATATTATTTCTAAAGAATACTGTATGACATATATTTATTTTTTACATGTGCTAGTAAATATTTTATGTTTATTTGTATATTTTAAAATGTAGATAAATTAAAAACTATAAGTTAATACAGAAATATTGTGGAAAAATATATAAAGACACGATAATTCAAAAGAAAACATTAGATTTTATAGATATATATCTTACAACTTACAAGTGTTTTGAAGAAAATGAGCTGCAGTTTGGTGGATCAAATATAATAAAAATATAATTCGATGGTTAGATGAGAGCATGATATGATAGTAAGAAGATATCATGTTCTTATCGCATCAATCCTACATCTAAAGTAAGTCATATAATTTAATTCATATTAATTAGTTGACTGAATAAGTTAAAATTTTATTTAATTAGAAAGATTAAACACTTTAAGTCATTTAAAGTACTTTATTATAATAATAATAAGAACAACAACATTTCACTCGAGCATTAACCTCAGAACCGTCAAAGTGGACTCTTACCCTTGTTGAGTGTTGATTTTCAGAAACGTTTAATGGGGACGATTTTGTATGCACGGCGCAGTAACCTTCTGCGCCACTGCGCCGTGCCACCGCCGCCACTTTATCAGTCAACTACGTTTAGAGGGCTTCTGTTTTTTTTTTAAACAATGAAAAATACATTTAAAATTCTTAGTGTGGATATTGTAGGTTTTAATAAATAGTTAAAAAGACATTTCAAAAAAATATATTTACAACTGCCTTATAAAATATTTATTATTATTATTATAATTATATACAAATAACTTTTTTATGGATTTTTTAAAACATAAATTATTTTAAACATTACTATTTTTTTTAATCTTGAAAAACCAATCCTAAATAGTTATTAAGAAATAAGCTAATAAGTTTTTTTTACCGTAGACCACATATATATACTTTTTGTATGAGTCAATTTAGTTAAAGCTAAAAGAAATCATTATCCACAGTTTCATATAATTTAAACTCAGTTACGTGTTAAGCTGAATCAATTTAATTTAAAACGATTAAAGTGTTTACTTAAGAGTTATTTCATCATACAGTGATTGTTCCGGTGTATAAAAAGCAAATGTGATCAATAAATAGTAATTCATTATCATCTAATTAATGTTGATAAAATATCGAAATCTAATAAAATATGGATAAATACGATTAGATAACATTACTATCTAACGTTTAAAAAATAATAATCTGCTAGAGATAAGATCATCCCAGATTATACAGTTCACAACATGCACTTTGTTTTTTATTAGGAACAACAATGAAGCATGGCATCTATAATTAGAACGTGTAAAATCCATTGAATGATTAAACAACGTGATTTAAGAAAATAAAACACGATTTGGACACAATTTCCTAAAGTGAAAACATAAAGCAAATGTTCAGTTCAATATTTGACCAGAGAATTAGAAGAACTCTATTTTCCAAGAATTTGTCTGAAAAAGGAAAATTTGGGATTTTGCCGACTAGCGCCGAATAATTGCATCCGCACAACGCAGCAACTCTCTCAGAACCACACCTTTATTAATTTCCATCTCCAAATAAATCTCTTGAGATTCCACGTGATTATGTATTATTTCAACACGCATGCATGCATTAATCAACTCATAAGATTTCGGATTATGATTTGTTTTGACGAGGGAAAAGGGAAAGAAGTTTACTTGTAAAGATAATATTTTTTATTTTTTTAAAATTTTATTAACTTTAGCTTTTAAAATTGAGAATAAACATTTAATAATAATAAAATTTATTAAAAAATAAATATTTATTATATTTTTATAATTTTAATACATTAATTATGTAATTTTTTTGTAAAAATTTTATATTTATGAATATTTAAACTCAATCCTAAGAATTGACGTTAATAAAGTTATTTTTTTAATAATTTTTTTATGTTTCTTCTAAAATAAGCACGAGGTCAATGTAGACTAATCATGCATCAATTCATTTATGGGTTTGTTTGGAAATTTGTTCACTTGACACAATATGATTACAGGAAACGATTTTCAGATGAGATTGTTTTGACATGAATTATGAAAAACATTTGATGACGATTGTTTTTGTTGCGTTAGTAAAATTGACTCTGTTTCGTACACAAACACAGCCTTGTATCTTTTTATGAGATGAAGAAGCGCAGCTTGAAACAATTTTAGTTTTTTCTTTTCAATATAAAATGTTAGAAACATTTAAGTAATAGCATGACTGTATATGGGCAATTAATTATTAAAGCGCTGATTAAATAAATTAAAAATAATATATTTTTAAAGGTGTTATTAAGAGCATGCTCATTGTCTGAATATAGAAATAATACTATTGTCTGTGACCTGTATTGAGCAAGTCATCAACAATTTGCCAACTCTAATTATATCTTACTAGCCGCAAGCATGCAGCATTTTGGCCCAAGTGTGGGTTGAATTTACATGGATTAACACATCTAAATGACAGTGATTGAGAATTCAGTTAGTGAACTCTGAATTATTCGATATTTTGGTAGTAGTGGACATGGATGGTGAGTTAATTAAGTTTGCCTTAGAATCACATAACAAAATGTAAATTTAAAACACCATGAGGTTTCATGATTCTTTTAGAACTTCCCAATCCCAAACCTGTCTCTAACATGTTGTGTTCGCAATTTTATTCCATTTTGTTGATCTTCGTGTTTACACCTTTATTATTCTTATTATTGAATATATGTAGCTTTTTTATTTTTCAAAAGTTGGTGTAATATAATTTATTATGATGAATACATGCAGTATATTAAATAAACCTTATTTATTATATTGTCATATCAAATGCTATATATATAAAAAGAGAGGAGGAAAATCAATTTATATTTTATATAATTAATAAATTTATATAAAATTTTATTATATCCTATGCCCCACTTCATAACTAGACCTTATCTTAAAGTGATTGGAGTCAGTTATGGGTGTCAAGTTCACAGACCAGTTTATATATTTATTTGCGACTCACATGGGTTTGAACTGGACATGACATAATTGTTTTCAAGGGAGGTTTAAGTTTGGTGTGCATGTTGTCATGAAAAACAAAGCAATTTGATGTGTTTAACCTGCAGTTTAAATAAGTTATGCTTCGTCATCTTGCAAATTGTTAAAATTTGTTGCTATAATAGAATAATGACACTAAAAAAAATATGTATTAATATTTTATTGTTGGATTATTCATTGTTAATTAAAAAAATTATTAATATAAATATTATGAGTTCTACCGAAGATTTTGGTAATTCTGTAATAATCGTTGGACATTGATTTATATGAGCTAGATTTGGGAATTGTTAACTGTTACCTGCGTTGTTGCGCGTATTTAATTAAAACAATGTAAGTGGAGGAGTTACCGAGGAGGGGAGTGTAGAGAGATGATTTGTAATTAAAAAAAAGTAGTAAGAGAAAACGTGAAGAAATAATAGGGAAGTTGGAATGAAGTGTTGGTAAACGAAAGCGATTACTAGAAATCGTGTGATGGAGTGAGCTCAGGAGTCACAGAAGCTGGCCTAAAATGCCGACATGAGACGAAGGAAACTAAGGCGCGTATATTGTATTGAAACATGGCTGGAACCTTTTGTTGACGGCTGGCTCGGTCTGTAAAGACTCCAAAGACAGAGCCGAAACACCCAGAAAGATTAGGCCCACACCACCCAGAACTAGCAACTCTAATCAACGCTATTACCGTCACGTGCTACAAATACAAGGCCCCAAGTTCCCAACAATGACGTATGTCCCAAGCGCTGCAGTCTCATATTTTGCGCACGCGTTACTCATGCCTTGTTTCTACCCTCTCTCCACCAGTCCACCCCGATGGGTTTTCGTGTCTATATGTCAACCCTCTCCTTTCCACCTATTTTTCTTTTTTTATTATTAATATATTGTTTATAATTATTAAACTCACTTTTATAAATGAAAGAAAAAAAAAATCTGTTTATTTTATCTGTACGCCAAATAATAGTACAACAAGACAAACATAAAATAAGCGCAAGCCAAAAATAGAGAAAGAGAAAAGGCAAAAACCGCTTCCCTGAAAATTATGATTATTAATCTGCCCATTGTATTGCTTTCATTACTTTATTACTACAGTGATGGCAACCAAACCCATTATATATATCCCGCATTCCAACCATTCTCTTCCACAGTTCCACCCCCCAAAGTGCAGAACATAGAAAAATGAGTATTGAAGTTCAAGGTGCCCTTTCTCTGCAATCAATGTCTGCTACCTTCAGTTTCTTGTTCTTCTCCTTCACCCTTCTATTCTCTCTCTTCTCTTTCCTCGTCTTCATCTCGAGGATGAAGCCATGGTGTAACTGCGACATTTGCAAGAGCTACTTGACCATGAGTTGGGCCAACAAGTTCGTCAATCTCTGCGACTGGTACACTCACCTTCTTCGCAAATCCCCAACAGGAACCATCCACGTGCACGTGTTGGGAAACACCATAACCTCAAATCCAGACAACGTTGAGTACATTCTCAAGACCAATTTCCAGAACTACCCAAAAGGGAAACCCTTCTCCACCATCCTCGGCGACCTTCTCGGCCGAGGAATCTTCAACGTCGACGGTGATTCATGGATGTTCCAGCGCAAATTGGCGAGCTTGGAACTCGGGAGCGTGGCGATTCGCTCCTTCGCGATGGAACTCGTCAACGAAGAGATCCACACGAGGCTCCTTCCTCTTATGGCTTCAACCGCACGTGCCGAATCAAACGCGGCGTCAACATTGGACTTGCAAGACATCCTCCGAAGATTCTCCTTCGACAACATTTGCAAATTCTCGTTCGGTCTCGACCCAGGTTGTCTCCTCCCCTCTCTCCCAGTTTCGGACCTCGCCGTCGCTTTCGACTTGGCCTCAAAACTCTCCGCGGAACGCGCCATGATGGCATCGCCGTTTATCTGGAAGACAAAACGACTCCTCAACATAGGGTCGGAGAAAAAATTAAAACAAGCCATCGAAGTGGTAAACGACGTGGCGCAGCAGATGATAAACCAGAGAAGGGAAATGGGGTTCACCGCAAGAAACGACCTTCTCTCGCGATTCATGGGGTCCGTAAACGACGACGTATATCTGAGAGACATTGTGGTGAGTTTCCTCTTGGCGGGTCGTGACACTGTAGCCGCCGGGTTGACCGGTTTCTTCTACTTGCTGTCCAAAAATCCCGAAGTGGAGGCCCAGATCCGGGATGAGCTGGATCGGGTGGTGGGACCGGGGCAGGAGACAGCGAGCTTTGAACAAATCCGAGAAATGCATTACCTTAACGCGGCGATTCACGAGAGCATGAGGATCTTCCCTCCGATTCAGTTCGATTCCAAGTATGCCACGGAGGATGACGTGTTGCCAGATGGCACTTTTATACGCAAGGGAAGTCGCGTCACTTATCACCCGTATGCTATGGGTCGGATGGACCGAATTTGGGGCCCCGATTTCATGGAATTCAAACCCCAAAGGTGGTTGCAAGATGGGGTTTTTGTGCCACCCTGTCCATTTAAGTACCCTGTTTTTCAGGCTGGGGTAAGGGTTTGTCTGGGGAAGGATTTGGCTTTGGCGGAGATGAAGTCCGTTGTCGCTGCTTTGGTGCCACGGTTTGATATTCGGGTGGTTCAATCGGATCAGGAGCCCCGGTTCGCGCCCGGTTTAACTGCAACTTTGCGGAGCGGGTTGCCGGTTCGGGTTGTTGAGAGAAAATGTTGAGATCCGTTAATATCGTTTGATTAGTGAAAATACAAATATGTTGGGGTGAATGGTGAACGGTGAACGGTGGATGCTGAATTGAAACTTCTTTTTTCCTTTGGATTCATATACTGCATGCCCATGTAAATATATTGCCAATTTTTGATTTACTTGCTCTTTCCTGTGTTTTTCTGTTCTTGGAATTTGGGTTCACAGTTAATGGCAGAAAACAGGGCGGCAGAAGAGGGTGGGTGGGAGAGAACAAGGGTTAATCTCCTTATTTAATACTGTTTCCCTTTTTCTTTTACTTAACTTTAAAATTCATTAATTAATAAAGTAAAAATAATATATTCTTTTTCAAAATTATATTGAAACATATTAAAATACATGGAGGTAAGTGTATTTTTATATTTGCAAACAAAATATTTCTATTTTTTATTAATGCTCTTAAGGTATTTTTTAAGTAATGAATTTTTATCACATTTTTATAACCTAAATCTATTTTTAATAAATTTTTACTACTTTTAATAACTCTAAAAACTAACATTTTTATCTATTATTTAATACTGATTTTTATAAAGTTAATAAATAATTGTTTTTTATGAATTTAATCTTAACCATTGATATTTTTTGAAAATTTAAATTATGCAATAAATATAAGGTACAGTAAAAATAAATTAATACTTTTATAAAATATAAAATATAAATTTTTTTCTTTTAATTCTTGCATAGAATCCTAGACAGTAAACAAAAGGAATGAAGGTAATGCACCCATTTCTGTGATTTGTAAGATGAGTTATTCATGTAAAATGGGTTATATACACACACACACACACATCCTTAACCTTAAATGACGATTCTCAATTGCATTTTGTCTGGCTTTGGTATCTGTGAGATGGAAAATTTGACCATCGGGTAATAAATGCATTCCTTTAGAAGAACCTTTTAAATGAATAAAATCACGATTTTTTTTAATACTTGTCTGAAATATATATATAAAGTTAACAAATAATTTTAAAAAATATATACTTAACATTGTTAAATATCAAATTAAATAATTTCTTAATGAAATTTTATCATATATAGAAATTTATTGTGTATTCTCAAATACAGATTAAAAAATTAAATTTAAGATATGCATTTGTTTGTTTTTACAGATTATATTCATTTACAATATTCCAATTAGAGACGTGCCTTGCATCAACTCCTCCTGATTATAGATAAGGGCCACAAAATGCTGCATCCTTTGTATTCTTCAACTCATCTTAAATAACTTCATTAATTAAAAGGGATTGATATAAAGACATCCATAATTGATCATGACAATTTTTTGTTTTGATTTTTGAGGAAAATAAAAACAATAAATAAAATAATTTTTTGGGTAAAATAAAGAAAATATATTTGATAGACCGTTCTTTTTTAAAAAAATATATATATATTATTCTCACAGTAAAAATTTATACAATAATAATTTTTTGTATCACATGATTTATTTTACATTTTTTAGTCTAAATTAATTTATAAAAAATATACAAATTTATTGTATCATTATTATTTATTTTTTTAAAAATAAAAAACTCACTTAAAAAAAAGTTTCTGAAACGTCAAAAGGTTCTTTCAGATGCTGTGGCATTTTTGAAATATTTAAGACACTGATTACTATCTTGAAAAGTAAATGAAAAGAAAATATTTGATAGGTAAAGACATGATTTGATGGATTTTTTTTCTATTATTTCTATAAAATAGGATAAAAAAATAAAAGTTGTAAAGATGAACTCACTGTTTGAAAATTCTGCAAACGTCAAAATCTTCTTAATTTCTAATCTACACACAGTGACTTGTTTGAAATATTTATGACATTGGTTTATACATTTTTCATTCACTTTAGTAACGCTTCACACAAGTGAAGTATATATTGGTTTAAGCAATGCATTTTTTAAAATAAAATTTTAAATTATAATTTAATACTGAAAAAAATTGTTTGAAGAGTTAACTCGTAACATATATTCTGGATATTTTCATCGAAAATAAATTATTCATGTATGTTATAAATTGATGTTAGAACTTGCCAATCTTACTGAACGATGATGTTTTATGGATAAGATCATCTAATCCTTCTATAGGTGGGAAAAAACCCATCACATAATTTTATTTTATTTATCTGTTATTGGCATATATCTTCCACAGTCTCATTTGCAAGTGACCGTGCTATAAATAATTTGCCTATTCTCAACTAAAGTTAAACTGCATTTATGTGATCACAAAATCCAAAACTTTTCTTAATTTATGTCGGCAAAATCAACCTTAATTTCTCTTAATAATTGTAAAGATGTTGATAATACATTGTGATTTATTTGTGTTAAATCAACGGTATTTGAACAGTTTTTATAATTTCTATTGTTTCAAGCATTGGTGCAGCAATAATACACTATTTTATTTATTTGTCAGTTTAAAAGCACTATAATTAGGTCCGTTGCCTAAAGATTCCAAAATATAAATTGTTTTACCTCAATAATGGAAAAAATATTTCCAATCACATGATTATACGCATTAATTTCTCATCACAATTTTGTTAAAAGATTGATGATTTGTTATAACATTCTCTCTATGCATTTAAAAAACCAATAAATAATTATAGATACCCACCGACTCAAATTGTCCTTAAATCCACCGCAAACCCCAATAATTCATTGCCATATACAGGTCGCAGGGCAATTTTGTGCGAACAATTTATAGCCTAATTAAACAACAAAAATCGTGTAACTTTCATTTCTTCTATGAATACTTAACCTTTGAAATGACAAAATTAAGGTTCAGTGTATTATTATTATGTGTAGAGATAAGTCAACTACATATATGTTTGGATGGTGCGGTGCCCTACAACCGAGAGGATAGACATTGACGCAGGAAGATATGAGAGAAATGTAGCCCTAAATTTATCATCCAATGTTTGTCCATTCCAGAGACAACTTAGTCGGCAAACATCTACGTGTCACTGTTTCATTAAATCTTTCCTTTCTTTGTCCAATTTAAAACTTATCATGTTGCATATATATAAATTCTTATATTTTATTTAAATTTTTTATTTAATTTATATCTAAGTTATAATTTATTATTTTACTAACTATTAGATATAAATTAAATAAAAAATTTAGATTAAGTGTAAGTTTTACACTAACATGAGAAGATCATTATTTTATATATTTGTTAATATGATGTCATATATTTAAAGCTTTAAACTACTATCTCTGTTGTTGTTTTTTTATTTATCACAGTTTAAAAAAATTATAATTTTAAAAGTTAAAAATATTTATTTTTATTGTAGTTTTTAAAATTATTGTATACATTTATTATAAGATAATATTAAATTATTTTATACATTTATTTCACATATTTAAAATTTGTCAGTATCTGAATCCATTAAGTGATTAAATTTAAGTTTACTCAACAATGTTATCATTTAATGTAGGTGCATTATCGACAAAAAATGGCATATGAATTTAGCATTGAATGCTTAAGGGTTATAGAAAAATTCAAACCATGTTCGTCCTCTTTAGGAAAGTCAAACACAACCTCCTTCCATAATGTCAAAGTGTCACTATATGCAGCCAAGGCAATATTAAATTTTCGCCCTCACAGTGACAGATAGAAATAATCCTGTATAAGGAAAGAAATAGTTTTTCATGAAAACGTAGTCTCATGTGCACTTAGTCCAAAACTTTCTTTTTCTTTTTACATTCCTATGTTTCTTTCTGCAAAATAATTGTATAAAAATTAGTCATAAATAAAATTTCTCTGAATGCCTCCTCCACTTTATTTGGTAGGTTGAAAAGAAAGTCTTATGCTTAAATATAATTTTGACAGGTTTGAGTTGGGACATTAATGCTTTAAAGTGAAATATACAATACTTGTAGCTAGTTAAGGTATTATAAATGTTAAGGGTTGATAAGGAATCTTATATGTAGATGAAAAGCTTGGGGCCTCTAACATGCATATACAAATAAATCTCGCTTTCTCGTGCGTGTGTAAGTGCTTTGAATCAAAATAATGAAATCTCTTGCGAGAGTATATTGAGTTTACGGGTCACGTTTGTTTTGTAAGATAGTTTTGTATTTTATTAGGTGCCCCATCGCAGCAGTTTAAAGTCCACTTTTCAAGTATAGCCTTGTATTGGTTGGATTTCACGGGCCAAACTGACCCTCAGAGTTAGATATGATACGGTGAAAGCTCCAATAACCTTGTTTTCTCGTTTAATCATTTTAAATTTTTATCTTTCATTTTTATAGGTTCGCACATTATATTAAATTCAACTGAAAAACTACTTCCAACAAATGTTTTTAGTGTATGCTTATCGATCATAAGAAAATAAATTTAAATATTTTATCGTTTTGGTACAAATTGTAGTTTCAAGTCCATTTTTATTTAAACAAAATAAATAAAAAATAATATTTATTTAAGTTTTAAAATTTTGTTAAGCAAAAATAAAAAAATTTACTTAAAGTAAAAATTAAAAAAAAAAGCGGATTGAAGTAAAAGCAAGAGAGAGAAGGATTGAGTAGAGAAAGAGAACGAGAGCAAGAAGAGTAATAAAGGAAAGGGAGAAGCTGAGTGAAAGGGTAAAAGGGGTTAAGTGTGAGAGAAAGAAAAAAAAAAGAGAAAAAGAAGCTAAAAGGAAGAGAGACAAAATAAATGTTAGATAGGAAAAAAAAGAAGAGAGATATAAGAGAATTAGAAGAAAAATAAAAGATTAAAGTGCACTTTTAATTAAATGAATTTAGATTTGATTAAACAAAAATACATTGTGAAACTATAAAAAAATTATTTCCTAAAAAGATATTAACTTTATATTAAAAAAATAATAAAATTACAATGAGAAATATGTTTATAAGATGAAAATTAATAAATAATTTAATATTTTATTTGTTAACAAAAGTTGCATGATAAGAATATATATAAAGTTTTTTCTTATTTTAATTTATTATAATAAAGAGTGGTTGAAAAAGACTTTAAAACTTTAGATAAAATTTTTAAAAGAGACTTTTTGTTAATTATATTCCTAAAAATTTAATTTTTAATGGAATTCAACATAGCATAATAATCCATGTAAGAAGAGGTTAAATTGTTATAATACTTTCTTTGATTTTTTTATAAAAAATAAAATAAAATATTTTTTTAATTTTTATTATAAGAAACAAATAACAGATTCAAGATATATTAATTATTAATTTTTTATATTATTTTTATTAGTATAATTAAATATATAAATTATTAACTATATCATTTAATATTTTAAAAATAAAATTTATATTAATAAAAATATAACATATTTAATTATTTTTCTTAGTTATAATG